TAGAGTTTGCTATGATAATGTGTATGTTCTGTAGCTGCACTGCCCAATATGGTAGCTACCAGCAACATGCATCTACTGATCACTTACTTGAAATGTGGCTCATGTGACTGAGGAACTAAATTTTAAATTTTATGTAGTTTTAATTCATGTAAATCTAAGAGTCACATGTGACTGGTGGTTACTGTATTGGACAGTTCAGCCCTCTGAGGTCCCTTCACAAGCTCCTGGACTGCGGGCCCCACCCAGGGGATGCTTCCTGGAGCCATCTCTGCACAAACTAGGCCACCCACCTCCCCCACAAGACAGCTCCCTCCTTCTGATTCCATTGTTCCCTGTTATGGATCTCAGGCCCCTCCACTGCAGCCCCCATTTCCCTTCACTCTTCTCTGTCCCCATTTGCACCCCAGTCTGGGTCACAGTGCCCTCTGGCCTGCACTGGCCTCTTGTTTGGCCTTCCAGCTATGCCCTGCCCTCACCCCCATTCTGGAGACATAACTGCCCTCCTCAAGACCCTTCAGTGGCTCCCACTGCCTCTACCTTGTCCTGTCTCTAAGTCCCTTCTTGGCCTAGGCTACCTGCCTCTCTCCAGCCATACTGTCCACCACTCTCTGGCTTCTAGCCTCCAGCTCTTCCTTTGGCTCCTTAGAACAAGGCCCCCATGCTCATCCCCTTTTGCCTGGAGAACTCCTACTCCTCTCATCTTTGCTTGGAAATCACTTTCCCGGGAAGCCACTGCCTTCAGGTATGCTGCAGGTTAATGCATTCCCCAGGCTTCCTCTGCTTCCATTATCACAGCATTTTCCATGCAGCATGGTCACTGCCTGTTTTCTTCTTTGTGTCCTATTTGTCCATGAGTTTAGGAGGGCAGCAGTGTGTCCCCCACAATGCCTGACACCCAGCTGGCTCTCAGAAAACCTGTGCTAAATGATGACAGAGAAGGGATAAAGGAAGGTGGCAGGACACATGGTAAGAGCACTGCAAGTGAGGGCAGGAAGCTGAAAGTCAAGTCCTAGATCTCACCATGTGACTCCGGATAACTGAATGTCCCTCTCTGGGCCTTAGTTTCTCCATCTGTAAAATGGGGGTCTGTTCAGAGGCTATGTTAGATGACAGAGTACACAGGAGGCTGCAGTTTGGAGAGGAGGGATTGGCAGTCAGGATACACTGTCAGCCCCAAGGACCTGAGAGCATGAGGCTTGGCATGGCTGAGTCTTGAACAGAAAAGGCAAGGGTGTGGGGAAGGGCTGGGGCACATCACGGCTGGCAGGAGGGGCTGGGAAGGGGAGAGGAACTGAGGGAAACTCCCAGGGTCAGACGCTTGTCCCCCAGCAACCAGGGTCTGAGACACCTGCGGGAGCCCTCACTGCCCTGACACCCTCTCCACTGCTCAGCCAGGCCCGTGAGCACTCTCAGCCAGCTGCAAAGTCTGCTTGCTCACACACTGAGCCAGAGGCTTCCTCCCAAAACCCCGAGGCCAGGGGACTGTGGAAACCTAACGGAGCCTTCTGGATTCCCCGGGGACTAGCAGGGCATGGGCATGAGCTGCCAACAGCAGTCATGGGTGCACCACTAGCACCTGTGAACTTGTCCTATGCCCCACCCCCCCATCCCAGACAGCTGCTTTGGTACGTACCAGCCTTGGCCTACTGAGGTTTGGGGGTGGCGTGGCTTGCCTAAGGCCGTGTGGCTGCCAAACCCAGCTGGAACCCTGGTTTTGGGTCCCTGAATGCATAAGGGGCCTACCTGTGTGCCCCTTGGGAGCAGAAAACTCCTGCATGTCCATTTCATGGAATCATTCTGTTAACAAAACTGTTTCACTTCCTCTCCTCTGCCTTTTCTTCTTCTCACCTGAGCTTTCTGCTGGTCCCAGTTCTCCATTCTCTGCCTCATCTCTTCCTCACGTTTGCCCTTTGCTCAGCCTTGGGAGAGCATATCTATGAGAGGAGAGGCATGGGGTGGAGGAAAAGTCCCCAGTTGCTTTGCGGACAGCTTTGCTGGCCTAGAAGTGGCTTGCTCCTGTGCAGTGCTTCCCATAGAGTTTGCTATGATAATGTGTATGTTCTGTAGCTGCACTGCCCAATATGGTAGCTACCAGCAACATGCATCTACTGATCACTTACTTGAAATGTGGCTCATGTGACTGAGGAACTAAATTTTAAATTTTATGTAGTTTTAATTCATGTAAATCTAAGAGTCACATGTGACTGGTGGTTACTGTATTGGACAGTTCAGCCCTCTGAGGTCCCTTCACAAGCTCCTGGACTGCGGGCCCCACCCAGGGGATGCTTCCTGGAGCCATCTCTGCACAAACTAGGCCACCCACCTCCCCCACAAGACAGCTCCCTCCTTCTGATTCCATTGTTCCCTGTTATGGATCTCAGGCCCCTCCACTGCAGCCCCCATTTCCCTTCACTCTTCTCTGTCCCCATTTGCACCCCAGTCTGGGTCACAGTGCCCTCTGGCCTGCACTGGCCTCTTGTTTGGCCTTCCAGCTATGCCCTGCCCTCACCCCCATTCTGGAGACATAACTGCCCTCCTCAAGACCCTTCAGTGGCTCCCACTGCCTCTACCTTGTCCTGTCTCTAAGTCCCTTCTTGGCCTAGGCTACCTGCCTCTCTCCAGCCATACTGTCCACCACTCTCTGGCTTCTAGCCTCCAGCTCTTCCTTTGGCTCCTTAGAACAAGGCCCCCATGCTCATCCCCTTTTGCCTGGAGAACTCCTACTCCTCTCATCTTTGCTTGGAAATCACTTTCCCGGGAAGCCACTGCCTTCAGGTATGCTGCAGGTTAATGCATTCCCCAGGCTTCCTCTGCTTCCATTATCACAGCATTTTCCATGCAGCATGGTCACTGCCTGTTTTCTTCTTTGTGTCCTATTTGTCCATGAGTTTAGGAGGGCAGCAGTGTGTCCCCCACAATGCCTGACACCCAGCTGGCTCTCAGAAAACCTGTGCTAAATGATGACAGAGAAGGGATAAAGGAAGGTGGCAGGACACATGGTAAGAGCACTGCAAGTGAGGGCAGGAAGCTGAAAGTCAAGTCCTAGATCTCACCATGTGACTCCGGATAACTGAATGTCCCTCTCTGGGCCTTAGTTTCTCCATCTGTAAAATGGGGGTCTGTTCAGAGGCTATGTTAGATGACAGAGTACACAGGAGGCTGCAGTTTGGAGAGGAGGGATTGGCAGTCAGGATACACTGTCAGCCCCAAGGACCTGAGAGCATGAGGCTTGGCATGGCTGAGTCTTGAACAGAAAAGGCAAGGGTGTGGGGAAGGGCTGGGGCACATCACGGCTGGCAGGAGGGGCTGGGAAGGGGAGAGGAACTGAGGGAAACTCCCAGGGTCAGACGCTTGTCCCCCAGCAACCAGGGTCTGAGACACCTGCGGGAGCCCTCACTGCCCTGACACCCTCTCCACTGCTCAGCCAGGCCCGTGAGCACTCTCAGCCAGCTGCAAAGTCTGCTTGCTCACACACTGAGCCAGAGGCTTCCTCCCAAAACCCCGAGGCCAGGGGACTGTGGAAACCTAACGGAGCCTTCTGGATTCCCCGGGGACTAGCAGGGCATGGGCATGAGCTGCCAACAGCAGTCATGGGTGCACCACTAGCACCTGTGAACTTGTCCTATGCCCCACCCCCCCATCCCAGACAGCTGCTTTGGTACGTACCAGCCTTGGCCTGATCAAGGCACCCGAGAGGAGCCTGGCAGTAGGGAAGTGGCACCTCCCACTAGGAAGGCCGCAGCACCCACTGTACTTGGAGCTGGGCTCCAATGTTTGCCATCATCACCACCATTATGCAAGCTCAGAGTGGTTAGGGTATTTGCCCCAAATACTTACACAGCTTCTGAGTAGCATGCTGGGATAAAGCTCAGGAGTGGCCTGCTAGACTCCACCTCCCTGCTCTTCACTGTACCACACCACCTCCCACGAAGTAAGAGATCCCCTCCCAGCTCTTCCCCACAGAGATCTCCCGTGTCAGCATGTCCCAGTGCATCTTCCAGACTATTGAAGTCCTCACCTGTGGGTCCTCCCTTCATCTGGGCCCTGGGTCCCTGCACTGCTTAGATTGTCACAGCTACCAGGCCTCATGCGCTCACTGCCCACACTTTCCTCTGGTGGCACCAAGGAGACTGCATGTCCCACCTTCCTGGGGAGGGTGCAATCTCTTCATATACTCCCATGATTGCCACAGTGAAGAGGCGCTTGTGGCTTTTAATCCACTTGCGTTTAAAGCCATTTTGGGAATGGGAAAAAGTTCAGTATCCTTTTCTCAGAAAACCTCACAGGCACAATATGTTGATGACCATTCCAAGGGGCTGGGGATAAGAAATCAGGCTTAGAAACAAGGGAGTATGGGTTATTTGTGCCCAAAGACAGCAGAACAAGGGCAACCCACACCTGGGCCCTAGCAGTCTGGGGCAGTGGGCAGGGATCAGGACACCACCCCCTGCAAGGACTGCCCCCTCTCTGCCTCCCAGTCCCTTGGATGACTCACTCCTTCATCTGCTCTTCTTAGCTGAACGTGGCAATAAAAGCCAAACAACACAGATCCTCGAGGGATGGATGGGGAGGGCTGCGGGAGCCCAGTAGGGCTCAGCAAGGCCAGGGCCACCGGGCACACATCCCGCCGCGTGGGCGCGGGACGGCTCTCACACCATCCTGGCCGCGTGCCTGGAAGGAGACGGGAACCTGGCCGCCTCCGCCCGTCTCCGCGCACCGTCCTTCCTCCACCTGCCCCGCACTCCCCAGCGCTCCCAGCGCGGGACGCCGAGCGCCTTCGGAGGCGGCGGCTGAGGGGTCCTGCGCAAGTCTCCCCGGATCCCTGGGAGGGCGGCATCGGTCCCTGACCCCCACCCTCCCTCAGACGACTTGTGCGAGGCAAGGGCGCGCCGCGCGCCACGGAGAGCTAGAGGACGCGGGCACTGGCTGGCAGTAGGTTTGGAGCCTGCGCGAGGGGGCGCCGCGGGGAAGGATAAAAGCCAGCAACAAAGAGCACAGACCTCATCCAGCAGTTGGTTGACTCGTCCCAAAATAGCCGTCTCCATCTGCTGCTCCCCGCGCTCGGCTTCCAGGCGCAGCACCCGGGCCTGCAGCTCAGACGTCCGAAAGTGGGCGAGCAGGCTGAGTGCCAGCGAGCAGAGGGCCAGGGCCAGCAGCCCGCACGACCCCGGGCTCGGCAGCCGAGCGCAGCGCTCCGCCGGCGCCACTGCCAGCGCCACGGTCCCGGGCGCGCCCAGCTCTCCAGGGCCACAGGCACTGGCCGCCGCCGCTTTGCGGGCGCGCTCCGCTACCATCCCCTCGAGTCTTGAGAAGCAATAAATAAATAAATAGAATAAATAAAGGCGAGAGCCGCTGCCCAAGGGCGTGATCCAAACTGCGGGGCAGGGGGAAAAGGCTTGTGTCCTGGAAAATGTCCCTTTCCTTTGCTCCCGGCAAAAAAGATAGAAAAATTAGCAGCAGGAGGGTCAAAACTAGGAGAAGAAGAAGAAGAAGAAGAAGAAGAAAGAAAAACCCACACCCAGTGGTAATCTGGGTACACTCAGGTGAGAAAAAAGGTTACTTCAAAGAACGTTCCAAGTCCAGGAAATTTAGGGGAATGCGGCCGGCCTTCTTCTCCGCCCTGCCTTCCCCTTCAAGCACCCGCGGAGTTGTCGGCTTGGGTCTGGTTCTTGGTGTCTTCGCGTCTGCCGGGCGAGCCGGTTCAGTCGCGGATCGAAGGGGCGCACATGGAGGGCCCCGCGGGCAGAGGCGGGCCGTGACCACTGCGGAGGAGCCCTGGGGCCGATTCCGGCGCCTCTGTAACTTGACACACTCGCTGCGGCGGCACGGATCGGATGAGCAATCCGTGCTACTTCCCAAACTAATCTCTCCCACCCGCCTCCCTCCACCTCCTCCCTTCTCCCTCTCCACCTCCTGCGGGGCCGACTGCTTGGATTTATTTATTTATGCAAACTCGTCGGGGTGAGGGGCGTGGTGTGTAGGGCCCTCTGCCCCAACCCGCCCTCCGCGGAGCCCCTCTTCCGCGCTCCTTGTCCCCTTTGAAGTGACACTTGGGGCTATTTATAGGCAGGAAGGGGGTGTGGAGTGGAACTGGGGCTGCCCTTCTCTCCCTTTCCCCGGATTCACACCGAGGACCCTCTTTGCCTTCCACCGAAATCACAGAGGCAGGCATCATTCTGCTTTTTGACAAGTTGGCAAAGCCAGTCTTTAGGATCCTCCAAAGAGCCCGGACGAGTTATTCCCGAGCATCTAGATGGATGTCCACGTCCTGAGGGAGGCGATCTGAAATCCTTGGGCCGCCATTGTGAGCCCCGCCCCCAACCGTGTCTCATTCCTCCCCTTCCTCTCCAAACCTGCTGGACCTTGGGCTCTGTACCTCGAGTCCACCGTACCTCAAGAACTTTAGTGAGGCTCATTCCACCTACCACATCTTTTCACCACAGGGTGAAAAGTCAGCTCACCAAGGGGCAGTGGAACTGGCGCCCTTTTCTCTCTTTCAGGACCAACACGTAACAAGGTACAGGAGGATAAAACCTCAACAGAAGAGTTTATTCCAGAGTATCTGAGAGGCAGGTCAGTCCTGCTGCCCTGCCAGTCCTCATTCCCACTCACCCCACCCTCTCCTTGCCTGCCATTGATCTGAGGCCTATTCCACCCCCTGGGGGCAGATCAGCCTGACCCACCATCCCAACCATCAAAGGTGGGCAATTCTCACACATGCTTGTACTCCATCCACAGGAGAGTCCTTCCTTAGGCTAACCCTGCTCCCTCTTGCTGTCATTTCCTGTGATCCAGTAGAGAAAAAGTGGTGGCCTGAAGGGTATTTTCTGGTTTCCTCTCTTGTCACCTCCTCCATTTTAACTAACATTTGTATCCCAAGAGACTTTATCTTCTTGCACCTCTTGACATTCCTGCAAATGAGGTGGTAGGACTGAGTTTATGGAGAAAGCCTACCTCCCAGTGGATAAAAGGCTGGCCCTTGAAATGTAAAATGGGGGTAGGGGTGACTCAATTTAATAACAGGATTGCCAACTTCACATTTTATATATTAACCTGATGGGCCTGATATATAATACAGTATTACAGCACCCCTAATAGTGTGGCACATTTACTAGAGTAAAATAATAACATATTACTCATATATAATAAATGTAACATTGCCCACTGGGTCAGTCAGCCACTTTGGACGACTACAGAGATAGAAGGTGATGCTGCAGAAAGGACTGGTGTCCAGGAGCTTTGTCAGTCCCAGTGCTAGCATTTCCTTGATATGGGACATTGGGTAAGTGTGCCTCTGTTTCCCCACACCGTGATGGGATGTCTCAATTGGGCCGTACAGAGTAACCCCTGAGAGAGCACAATTGTATTGTAGACCACCAGGGGGCGCTAGAGAATTTCCGCACTGAGAGGTCCGTGCCCGAGCTTCAGGGACTTTGATGCCGCGCCCCACCACCTACCCCCAACCCACCACCCCCGGGGCAAGTGGGAATGCAGGAATTGAACTAGGGGGTTAGTTGCATTCCTTCCTTGTTCCACAACTTGAACTCTTCTCCTTCATTACTTCAGGGATCTTCAGGAATGCTGAGGCAGTGAAACCTAAAAGGTTTGGAGCTAAAACATCTTCTGACTGGAAATGCAAGGAGGGACACGTAACACAAGCCTGACCCCCGCATCAGAAATGACATGTTTGAACCCCTGGGGGCTTAGGAGACTTTGGAATCAGAGAAATCCAGGTATAAATCAAAGTTCTGTCAATGTTGGAGTTATTTAACATCTCCGAGCCTCAGTTTTCTCATTTATAACATGGGAGAATTTAAGCTTGGGAAGACAATGAAGTAACACATGTAAAGCACAGAACAGAGTGCCTGGCACATAATAGGCCCTCAATTAATGGTGTCCGCTTTCTTCTTTAGGAATTCATGGCTGCTGGTGCCAGCTAAGATACAGCCACCTCTAGGCTCCCAGCTGTGCAACAACAAGAAATTTCAATCCCAAGAGAAACCAAAGGAGTCACAGCCTCCATTTCTCCACAACTGCTAGCTGGAGGCAGCCGCCTGTGGGAGGCATCCCCAGAGTCCCCTTCCCTTCTTCATTCAGGGTCTGCAGTCCTTACCCCGGAGGAATTCTGGGAATTGACCACCCAGACAAATGTCACAGAGTAATTGGGTTTATCTTGAACCCTCTTTCTGCAATGTGGGGGCTGGGACCCGGGGACAAGGGGTGAAAAGACTCTGCTTCCCAGTAATTCAGAGGCCAGTAAGGAAGATATGTTCAGAAACAATCACCACATAAGGCAAAATAGTGAAAATCCACACAACTGTGTAAAGAAGGTGATTCCGGGATTCCCAGGAAAGGGCTGGGATCCTGTGGCTCAGGAAGAATTTCTTGTTTGTAGCAGGAAGATAGAGGGCTTTCAGTGCTAATGCAGAGTTTGACTTTGATCTGTGGCCATGGTTACTCTCCAAATAAAAAACAGTTATTCTGAGTACCAAGATGGAAAGCTAAGAAAATATGCCCCTGTACTTCTGGTTGAACTGCTGCTGAAGTATTTTCTGTGTTTTTCTGCTTCCATATATTTGCTCTGCTGGACCCTCAGCCAGGAGGCTCACCCTCCACTCACCTGTTCTCTGCACCCTAAAATCCTGCCCGATTTTACCGAGCAAACCCCACTTGTCTTCCTCCTACCTGTGGCTTTGACAGTGCCGACCTTCCTCTTCCTGAAACCCTCATTGTCCTGATTCCTGGGCCCCACTGCCCCGTCATCTCTGGTCTCTTTTCAGTCCTCCCTGAAGTCTCCTCTTTGCCCCATGTCAAAAATGGTGGTCACATCTCCTCAGGACTCTGTCACAGAGTCTCTGCTGGGCTGTCCTACCTGCCCCTTTTAACCGGGCAGCACAACAGAATCGCCAGTGGAGGCCCAGGAACACGGCCAGCTGTCATTTCATCTTCCCTGGGCCTCTTCTTACTTCCCCTAATAACTGAGACTCAGTTTCCTTTGGGGAATCCCTGTTATTCTCAGTCCATGTGGCTGTACTGGGGTTGACCTGAAACCTGGCTCTAGGGTATGTGAACTAATCTCATCAATTAGTGTCTCCATCTCCCCTGGCTCCCCTGGGCTAGAAATGGGCATGTGGCCCAGCTCAGGCTAATGAAGGTCAGGCAACAATGACTGGGAAGGGACAGCTATTTCTTTGCAAAGGGCATTCTAAAAGAGTCTCAACAAGAGCTGTGGGGGGGCATCTTGCCACTGTTCATAATGACCTTGCCTGAGAATGAAGCCAACATGGAGGCAAGCAGAGGTGGAGAGACTGAGTCAGAAGACATTATTTAAACTCTTAGATCAAATTGTGCCATAAGCTCATCCATGCCTGCACTTTTCAATTACCCGAGTCATTTTTGCTCAAGCCAGTTTGAGTTGGGTTTTTTTCTTGCAAGTAAAAGAGCCCAGAGTCACACATAGGGCCTCACCCCATGTTACAGAGTCAGAATCTCTGTGGGTGGGAGAAGGGTACAGGGCAGCCCAGGTTCCTATTGTTTATAGAAGCTCCCTGAGGGATTGGGATTCAAGGTAGAGAGTCCCTGCCCTGGGCAACCCCTGGGTGCACTTGACCCCCCTGAGCTCTGGTGATGACTCTCCCAAGCAAGATCAGCCTGCAGTACCAAGAACTTCTCACCCAAACTCCCCGACCCCTCACCTCACACTCAGCTTCCCCTTTCTCTGCTTCCCTTTTTTTCCCCTATGGGTGTGTGGCATTGGTATCCTTACCTTCTTCATCCATTTGGGACCAAATCCTATAGATTCCACCTCCTTAGTTTCTTTCAGATCTGTTCCTCCTTTCAGGTTTATCCACTCCTGCTGTGTGCCCCATGTCTAGCATTTAAACAGATCCAACTTTCCCATGTTGTAGCTTCAATTAACCCAAGGAGGTCTGGCCCGGAGACCTGCCAGAATGTTCCCTGCACTGTGCACTCCCCAGTCCTTATTTCTCTCCTAGGCTTTATGGTTACTGGCATGACAGCCCCTCTTCCCAGCTCTGCTTCTGACTCCTGCATGTAGTGAGCAACAAGATAGAAGGGGCCTGGTACCCTGGTGGTTCTGTGGAGATGAGTTTTCAGAAGAGGCTACACTTTCATGTGAATGAGAAGTAATCTATCTCCTTTGAACCACTGTTATTCTGGTCTGTCTTGTATAGCCGAAACTATGTCATATGACCTATGTCTGTCCTCTCCCCAAGACGTGAGTTTCTAGAGAGCAGTGGATGACTACGTTCATCTCTGTGTCCTCATCACTCAGCACAGTGTACATGCCCAAGAAATGGTTTGAGTGAATGAGTGAGCAGATAAATGGATGGACAGGTGGATTCTAGTTCTGGCTCTCTCCCAGCTATATTATTTAACCTACTTCCTCCTATGTAATATTTAGAGAATGATGGGGAGGCAAGGAAGGAAAAGAGTACTGAAATGTATAAGGACTTCAAAAATTCACCCATTCAGCAAATATTTATGGAGCACTTTCTAGTGTCAGCCCCTAAGCAGGTGCTAGAGACAGAGGTGTGAGCAAGGCAGGCTAGTGGTGGAGGCATGGGGGTCAGTGCTGTGATGCAGGACAAAGAAGGTGCATGGGGAGTGCAGAAGAAGAGCCCCGACTGGGCTTGGGAATGAGACCTGAATGATGAGCAGAGCTCGATAAAGGGGTGCAGGGAGGGCATACCAAAAGAAGGGGTCTGCCTGTGCAAAGGCCTGGAGGTGAGAAAGATCATGGGGAAACTGGGGGCAATTCACTGTGGCAGAAGGAGGAGGGCAGAGGAAAGCAGGGAGGGCTTATGCTGAAGAGGTGGGCGGGCGCTGGGCAGGCTGAGAA